CCCCCCCCTCTCGACTTTCTTTCACTTTGATGTTCCTTCCCCTCTGTGAAGCCCGAAGTCAACTAAAGGGCTAATGATAACCAACAAAACGTCTGCCGTTTGATATAAATAAATTAGATAAATGAAGGAGCCAAAGCATGACGAACAGCTAAATGAGAAGAATAGATGATAAATAAAAATGCGACATTTTCACATGAAAATAATAACCGATTTACTGAGAGGTCCGTACCTATAACCGATATCCGTCTCCATTACATATTTCAAGTAAAACCGCTACAGTGCTGTTCGCAATCACAATTTTGAAATAAGTTATATAGGTTAAGTTTTTATGGGCAATTAGAAGAATAAAAAGATGAAATGCAATATAATATGATCTATTGACCTATTTCAAGAAAAACATGGAGGTAGATTTCAAGAGGAAGATTTCAGATAACAAAAAACGTCCTCGCAATTATTCATTTTTGAGACATCCAACCACAATTGATCGAAAGTTTAAATTCTACTAATAATTCATCTCAATTCAAAATTATTTAAAATAAATCAGTTGATCTTCTGTTTTGATCCAATTGATAAAGTTGAAATCGCAATTCCAAGCTGACCTAGATAGTAAGTTGCCATAATTGTATAGTGAGAGTGTTCCAAGGGTGTAAGAAACTTATTGATGCCAATCAGAGTATCGGAAAGACCGAATAAAATGCTACCAAGAGCCAGTGAATAAGACGATGTTTCAAGAGCAAGGGAGACAGCACGCCAGATCATGACAAAAAGAATAAAACTGTAGGCAGGAATAGCGTAGACAAAGAGTCCACGAAGAGCTGGTGCAAAATGATAATTCAGTGTGAGAAAAGCAATTATAATTGGGAAAGAGAGAGAAAAATGAGGAGGCTTGAATCCATAAGCCATTGTGTAGGAGGCATGACAGATTGCAAATGTTATCATACCAGAAAGAAAAAGTTCTTTAATATCATACACCAAGCAAATATCTCCGATGATGCAAAACAGCAATCCAATGGATATGAAGGTAGCATATGATTTTGATACAACATAATAACGAATAATTCCAACAAAAGTAGTAAGCCAAACAATCGGAGCACATTTAAAAGCACATTTTTCAAACTTCGATGACGATTCAATAAAGTACTTCAAGTAGAGTACGGAAGAGAAAATAAACGGTACCGTGACGATGACGATGCAACCTGCCTATGAATGAGATAATAAAGTAGTAATTATTCACATCATTAATATAAAATTCAAAATTCATTTGCACTTTCGAAGAAATTGTTTAAATAATAGTAATAACTTTGAAAATCTTAAAAAATACCCTTCAATTGCGGAATACCTTGGATAAACCAGACAAACTCATTCTCAGCGGCTACGGTCTGCTGCAAATAAAGGTAACTGTCCTAGTGCATTAAAACAGAATATTAAATCTTCGATCTAAAATTAATGCAAATATTAAAAACATATATTTTTCAATCAATGTATTAATAGCGACATTTTTCGTTCTCATAGCTACATGTTTTACAAAATATGATAAGATATTCGTAAAAGGTTAATGCTCAAATTGATTGACAATGTGAAGAAACGTCAATTAGAACTCCTTTCTTTAAATGACTTTTTCAGATGCCATATGAAAATGTTCAAATTCAAAATTTTATCGTCATGCGAAATCAGTTGCCAACCTAGTTAAACGCATGATCGCTTAAGGTAATGTAATCACATTTAAATGAGCTTCTCAGCGCGTAGAACAGTTCACAGGGATTCTGTCTTTTGAGCTGCTCCTGAGCCACAACCCCAAAAGTGTACCCATGTTGCAGACCGCTTTCCCTCATTGTTGATGAGATAAAGTCACGCAGGTGATACAAATGACCATTCTTCACCTCTCAATTTAATGGCTTGTTGGAGACGCTTAAAGAAAATGCCCTCCCCCGAGATTTAAAATGAAAACCCAATCGATTCTAGCAACCATCACTCCTGAATCAAATAACACTAAAAAGTCCAAAACACAGTTACCAAATTATTAACAAAAACCAAGCTAAATCGAATTCTAAACTAAACGCTAGCCTTTACCAAGAGGGCACACAATGCCATATCAGTATTCGAACAGGATGGGTTAAATAATCTACAAATGTTCGCACAACACCGACACAAGAGCATCGTTAGAAGGAGCTAAACAATAAGTTTCAACATAAGTTTGATTATGTGACATTCAAAGTAACCGATGCAAATGACTCAGTAGGTGAAGCGGAAGAAACCCATATTTCGGCGAAAGATTTAACAGTATAGTCATCAAATGAAAGAAGGAAAACATCAATGCTGCCAGACACACATTGAACGTAACAAAAAAATATAAATAGCAAAGAGGCAATATGAGAGAAATCTATCAATTTAAATTTTGCATGTGTTTAATAACAGGATGATCTTTAGGGGCATCCGTGAAAAGTATTCCCACAAACAGACGTTGATTGCGCAGTCTCTCCCGATTTACTTTACAGCATCCATTAGCATTCACGTAAAAGCCAAAGTTTGTCAAACGTGCGTCAGAGTAAGGTTGCAAATGAAATCCGATATACTATTTAAATAAATAAAGTACCACAAGATATTGTAAAAATGGGCAATAAGATAGAAAAATAAGCTTACCGGAATACCGGTTTTCGGGTGCATGAAATCTGCCCAATATCCCATCTGATTCAGGGATGCACACACATCTAAGGCGGACTGCACAAACTACGAAATTAATGAAAATACGAAAGGAACGCATACCAATTCATATACGTCCTCAAAATTTTCAGCGTCTTTCGAACTTTTAAGTGAATAGTGAAAAGAAATGGAAGTTAATCGAGATCCAGAGAAATCTTTAGTGGGATAAAGTATTGACAAATCAGATTTAATGATTTCTGGACATGAATGTACAACATGCTCAAGTGTAGGATCTAATGTTGGAACAAGGGAATGTGCATCAACGAATTCCTGTGGATAAAAAATAATATTCAGTGAAGGTTAAATATAGTTATTTTACAAACCTCAATACTATATTCTGCCTGCGAGAGAACGGAGGCATAGTGATGTGTTGAGGGGACTGGTAAATTACTGGCTGCAGGAATAAGAGCTACTTCACATTTTTTATCTTTTTCAACCAAGCCCACATACCCAGGAAGTGGGTATTTAGGATTTATGGCATCGATGGGTCCCAATTTCGTATCTGGCCAATTTGTTAAATGTGGTCGGTTCTTCGTCAAAATAACTAAAAATTAATAAACAATGACAATCACACCATATGAGTCGGAATTCTCCCGAAATGAGGTTGAATGCAACTTTTGTGTTGTTATGAATGTTCGCCTCAGTAATTTCAGAAAAAGATTGATTTTATCCTGAAAAACTTGTGCCATAGCACTAGTTAGCATATATTTGGCTAACACACACCATTTGCCAAGGACAAATGGAGGTAAAAATTATCTTGTTGATATTATCTTATAATTTAAAAACTACGTTTTCATTACATATACATTTATTTAAGATTTATTTCGTATTCAATATAAAACAGTTTGAAGGTCACAAAGATTATTAAAGGTAATTTTAAAGACAATGTGTCAATATAGTAGTGTGAGTTCGATTATTCAACTTTCGCTCATACAAAATCCGTAATCGGGACTGAAAATCATTCATGATAGCTTTGATCATTGAAGTGCATGACGGAATATGCTCTTATTCTAACTGCGTGTCATAAAATACGGACTCAAATGGCTGATTGCGATATTATAGTAGCAACATAAAGAAATGGTCGATTCTGTAAAAATTTATGTTATTGATATAACATACTTGATATGATATGATTAAAAGAACATGTAGACAAGCTAATAATTCTTTAATTCTGTAACATCAAATTGAGGTTAGAAAATCGAAACTACAACTGCAATCAAGTTTAACGATTTAAGAGTTTGGTTGAAAACATTTTAATGAACAAAAATATATAATCAGTGCATAATACATATTAAGGGTGCGATAGACGTGTCTACCCTTACTAACGTATACTCATTAGGCGAGAAAGTATAAAGCCAGCAGTTGACTTTTGACTTCAAAGTACCACGACCTGACTCTATGTTGCATTCCATCACTTCCACAGTGCGCAACTTACCTTTTCTCTACCTTTTGGTTATCAGTCTCCTTTACATCTGTGAATTCCTCCTATGTACTTCCCCTCGGTTTTGTTGTGTTTTTGATATTCCTCTCCTCCGTGAACCACCAAATTAACTATAAAGTTAACCATAATTGCCATAAAGCCAACAATTTGATATAAGTTATAGATAAAACGTTCGACTCCGCTGCGCATGTAGCAGAGTTATAATACCTAACTTTATAGCGAATAAAAAATATAAAGGGATAAGCAGTTCCGTTTTAGAAACCCATTCTATAAATATATATGGCTATAAAACTTCTCGCAGAAAATCACAGAATGTAGTCATTAACTTCAGTATAGTTATATCAGACAATAAAAGTATGATTAAAATTAATGAAAAAATTAAATAATTTATATTTGGATCTAGATTTGTTTTTGAAAAATTCAAAAAATAAATGACTCTAAATAAATTGTAGCTAATTAAAATTTTATTCAAATTTTACAAAATAAAATAAAATTATACACGTAAATACATTTGTATTATTATGTTTTTTGCATTATTTAAGGAAATATTGGAATGTTATATTATTAACAGAGCTATATAAATCTCGTGTTCATCCAATAAGCGTCATTTCGTCTTTTTGGGTGTCGCTGGCGCTTCGGTGCATTTTGCTCCTAAATGGATAGATCTCGTTTACGTCCGCCGTATGGACTGGAATACTCTCGTATGTTGCATATTTAGTTCTTTATATGTTAAAAAAGTCTTAATATTATTTAACTTCTAATTTTGAATTAATTTTTTTGTAATAAATACACTACTTATTTTTGTTATTTAAGTAGCTCTAACGTTGTGTTTTCAATTTTAACAGGCTCTTATGGCCCTCACGTTAAGCCATATTTATTTCATCCCACTATACGTCCTTTCATGCCTTTGGCTCCCCGAGGTAATTGGGCCCCTCGTGGTCACTTAAGACATCGTAGCAACCCTCATAATTGGCCTTCTCGGCCTGCTCGCGCTCATCCGCCTCGTCACCGAATTTCCAACCAATCACGAGCGTCGCCGTATCGGTCTACAAGATTTACCACCAATCGGTGTCAAGAACCCGCAGCAAAAAAGCCTCGCTTGGATCCGACTGATCCGCTTAACCTCCACGGTCTAATAAAGGAGGCAGATCGCAGGAGAAGTCAGGGCCTATCTCCTTTACACGGTGATTCCCGCCTTAATACACCGATTCTGAATTCTAGTGGAGATACTGAAACTCCGGGTCAGAACGTCGTTGAGTCTCTAAACACCGATAATCTGCGAAATCGACCTCATCGTAATAACAAACGTGGTCGTTTCTATTCTGGTGGACCTAGGGGTTATCGGCGACACAGTAATCGCTTGCCAGTGACTGGTAACTATCGCAATTACTATGCTAGACGTGATCCCGATAGTAGGATGGAAATATTACTTTTTCCCTGGTTTGATCGTAATGTGGTTGCGGATTATGGTTGTCATAACGGCACATTTACTTTCAAGATGCTTGAAAAGTTCCCTTGTGTCAGTCGGATTGATGCTTTTGACTGTGATGCTGAGCTAATTGAAAATGCTAGAAGTATGCAAAAGGAGAAGATGCGTTGGAAGAATAAGGGCGATATATCTTATGAGAAGATAAATTTTCAGGTGGCTGATTGGTGTGAATCAATGACATCTGATGATGATCCTACTTACAATACTATCTTAGCATTCAGTGTTACAAAGTGGATCCACTTGAACTACGGGGATGATGGAATACATCGGTTTTTCCGACGAGTTTTCAATCTATTGAAACCAGGTGGCCGTTTAATCTTAGAACCCCAACCTAAGTCCTCATATCGCAGGACTCGATTTACGGTATGTTTATATTTATTTTACTAGTATTGTTATTTATAGGCTAAACAAAGGGATAATTACATATCAATGAAGCTCGATCCCTCGCATTTTCGTGATGTATTGCTTGCAGTAGGGTTTTCTTACTTTGAGGATCTCAAAATTCCTCAGCCTGGCGAAAGTTTTCAGAGAGTAATTATGATGTGTTGTAAATCCGCTGGGGATACCCCTTTCAATATCCGAAATGATTATCGAGAAGCAGCTCGTCTTCGTCTGATTCCTTCTCCGCCTGTAGAGACCTTAGCTTCTCCTACAATCCGACCTCCCCCTGTAAGATATAACCCCTACAGCACACCTTTTTCCCCTTTCTTTTCTCCTCTAGGGTCTCCGGTTTCCTTTCATGAAATCCCTAATACTGTAGATGAAGAGGTGGAAGAAGTTTATGTACAGCAAAGCCATGAACTCATTACGAGCACTGTCCCCACCTCAACGGATTTGGTCTCGTTGAGTCCTCCAGGGGAAGCAACTCCTTTGATTGCGCCGGAGTCAAGTTATGCCAGTGGCGGTGTAGATAGTCCTAGTCCAGATTCAACTTATCAACACTAAATGTCTGTTTTATCCCCCTCTCCTGGTTCCTCAATTTGTACATATTTATACTATGGAATGTATGTTTGCGATTTTATTATGTGGTAAATATGCTTTTTTGGTTTCTTATCGCTAACTAGTTTTTGAAAAGTCTAATAAGTTGGCTCATGCAGTAGACACTTTTTCTTTGGAAAAGCCAGTGTAATGCGCAAATTTAGTCTTCCATACTTGGTTATTTTATATTGAAACTTAGCTTCGTGTCCTGTTCTTTTAGTTTCATTAAACAATGTTGGGCTTATGTTTAGTTTTATTGCCATTGAGCCAAGCTGTTACCTCCACGAACTCTAAAAGTTGTCAGAACCCGGCTACGATTTTTCCTCTAGAAGGAATCCATTTGTTGGCAGCGTTCGTAGTTGTGTTTCCCGCTTTAAAAATAAGGCTCGTACCCTAATTGCTCAAAATGTGCTCTTCATTGAAATGATTTAGGTTAGTTAAATATTAAAATCGGGAAAATAAATTAAAAAAAGGACTGCAAGCAAAATATTAAAATAAAAAATAATGCAATTTAAATAGGTACAGTCACGGACACCATATACGAAGTATATAAGCAGCTAAGACTTACCAGTTGGGGTACGTTTGTGCAATCAGCTTATAGTAACACAATAGCACCATGTTGGCTGGTGCAGGTTGTTTAAAGAAATGTGCTCATCCTTAAGAACATTTACCCTTTGATTCAATTTGCTTTTCTTACTCTCCTTCCATTTCACTAGAGCAGTTATCATTACTTCTACAGCTTATTGGATGGCAATTCACTTTTCTCCACATGCCAACTTTATCTCATTACTGTGAGAAGCACTATCTTTTTTCACGGTGTTTTAAAGGTTGCTCATAATATCCCTCAATTATTTGCTTTTGGAGAATCCGTTTAGAACGAGAAAAGCATTCTTAATTCAAAAAATTATTTCTATCAAATGGCAGGCTGTATGATAGTCAGCGTTAGCCTTTTAGTTGACTTAGGCTTCTACAGAGAGGAGAAGGAACAGAAAAGGGCACAAAGGTGGAATGGGGGAGCTGACGAGTGAGTCACAGAGACAGACACAATGGTGGAGAAAAAGGTTATTCGAGTACTGTGGAAGTGAACGACTATGACATAGAGTCAGGTTATGGTAATTTGAAGTCAGAAGTCAAATGCTGGTTTATAGACTTTTTGCCGTGTGTGTATATGTCGCCCAGGGTGCGCCACGAGGTAAGTCTATTGCGCGCCCCAATTCATAAACGTTATTCTTTGCAACATGGCAGTACAAACAGCGCCACCATAAACAGTCTAGGCTTACTTTAACTCAGCTCTATGACAATTGTCATAAAACTTCGAAGTCCCAGAAATATTCCATCGAATGGCACGGTCCCTAATGACCATTTAATACTAATCAAAAAACAGAAAATGAACCAGATATATCAGTCCTAAATTCTTGGAACCGCTATATTCCACCACGCTTACATTACTTCCTCCTAAATAGTTAGGAACTTAGAAAAAAATAATCCATCAAATGAGCTTTATCTTAAGTTTTATTACAGCACTTTGGCACATTTGAGGTTATCGTAAAAGTAAAACGACTACTTATGGATACAGGTTAAATTATAAAAAGAAACTGCTATGGCGCAATTTCTTTGTTTCACTTTTATTATAAAATTGAGCAGGACTGTTAACTTTTGTAGTTCGGCAATATTGTTGATAAGCAGTTACTCAATTGCCATATACTCTGTGACTGGCAAAGTAAAAATTCACACATCAAAAAGAGTACATACAGTTATGAGAAAAAGCTATTGCTAGTATTTCGCCTATGCTGCATTTCGAATTAAAATGGTTTTCTTGCTCCATTGTTGTACTCACTCCAAGAGTAATCTTTAAGCCATTACAAATTCAACGCAATAAAAAACTCTAATGCTCTTTGTTTTGTAGTAGATTTTTCATTTATTGCGACATAAATTATTTCAACCTTGTATTTAGTCGCTTCTAGAATTACACGTGATGAGGCTCGGTAAAGGAACTCTGCTGTTCTATGCTGTGTTAGCTTAACGTTCCATTTACAGATGATTGGTCAATTCATCTTAGCTCTGATTGGGCGAATTGCATAATCTGTTTCAGTCAGCTGATCAAAAAGATAAATACTTTGTCCCTCTGGCCATTTTCCCAATGTGAAACCTAAAACAAATTGAAAATCTATGAATGTCAAATATTAAATGGGATAGTTTCAAAACATATTCCTCTGTCAACAATTAAGCTATTGGTATTGAGAAGTATACAAGAAAGAACTGTAATCTACCTTCCATAAAAAAACATTACAAGTGGAATGATTCATCGCACTTCAAAGATCGTTATAATTATACCATTCTGTGTTAAACGCCATTATTAGAAAGTAGGCTTTAAGTTAGACCCTTCTACTGGATGGTATGGCTATTTAAACAGGGAAAAAAGACAAGAGGCTAGACGCTATTGAAATAGTCACCAGTTTCACGAAAATATCTAGTTTAAGCCTAAACAACAGTCAGGACTCCCGTATTGCCATTGAGCACATGAAATGTATGTGAAACACTCGTTTAATAAAATCGATAATATCGCATATGTTTTGAACACAACATTTTCGTCTTAGTCCAAACCGCTTATCACGTGACAAATCGTACTTCTTTGATGACTCATCCGCACACGTTACCATCAGGCCTCAAGTTCCCCGCTAGTCCTTGATAGCGTTATTAAATCAGCTACCATCTTTCAACTAACTTTAAACTCCGTAGTTTAGGTTATTTAGAACGTAATTAGGAGCTGGTTCACGTCAATATACTTGTCAGCTTAAAGGTGAATTAATGTTAATTATAAAGGACGATTTGTGCTGTGACCTAACAAGAACGGTGATTAAAATTGCGTCTTGTATAATGCAGATAGAGCTTTATTTATTTTGCTTTCAAGATAAGTCTGCTTTGCTTCCTAGGGCTAATTCTTATCTGAAGGAATCACATGATTACTGAAACTCTTAACACATTCAAAAGGAAGTAGAACTTCAATAGTATATCTAAAGTAGCAGGCCCAGAGATTCAATTATAACCACGCCTTATTTCATCGATTATCTTCACGAGCAAATTGACTTAAAGGTTTTGTAAATTTAATCCATCTGTTTCTCATTAGAACTATCCCTTAATTACAGCTGAGCACTTATTTTTTAAAGACGCGATTGTGAAATCGAATTTTTAAATCAGACCTCTTATCAGCAGATAAAAGTTCTGGCATGTAATGATGTTTACCATGAAAAATATGATTTTAGTTGTCAAGGTCGAACTTTGTGAGCTAATTTAATGATCTAACTTTTGAACTTGTATTAACTAAGTTCGTTAGTTATGTTCAAAACATTTGTGGCGTATTATATGTTTTTTTAAATTAGTTATTGGAATAAAATTTAACTTTCAGTGATAGCAAGCTTAAAATTTGACTATTAGCCCTTCTCGTCGGTTAAACTTCACGCAGCGGGTAAATTCCAATATTACAAGTACTTGGGATTGAAAAGCGTAAAATTTAAGGCTTCGCCCAATAGTGGACTTTAAATTTCATAATGTTTTGAATATTAGCCAATAATGCCCTTCTAAGAGTTCAACTCGAGTGAAGGTTCTGTGATATCAGTCATGTTAAATCTATGCAAGGTGTTACAATTCACGAAAGATCAAGCTACTTTTCCTGCCTTGGAAACAAAAAAATAAACTGAATTGATTAGATCAGCCATCCTAAACAAAACAATCGGTTAGTTGGCTGTAGATTGTGGATATAAATTTGCTCAGTAATATGGGGAAGAAGTGGACAAGTTGGAACTTGATGTAGCGAAGGCTCATTGAGTGAGTATTCTACAACCAGAAAACATAAATCAAACGAAGGAACTCCCTTCCAGCCCTCCTCTCGATTCTTTGCTCTTACACCTGAATAAACTTTCGGTAACGATTTGAGCTGCTTTCTTGTATTTTATTTTGTATTTTTCTTTCCTAAATAAAGTGTAATGAAATAGATCTGGTAGATCTATAACATCAAACCCAATGAGGATTTGCCAGTTACTAAACTCATCTGTCTACTAGATGGATGCAATAAAAAGTAAATGAGAAAACGTCCTCGAAATCGCATGAAATCATGTTATCCGGGTTTTCCATATGAATATATTGCAAGATCAGCTTCATCAAACTTTAAATAAAGAATGCTGCTGACCTCACGATTTGGCAGCGCAGGTAAAAAAGAGTTCTAATTTTTAATGTCCTCACTCTCCTCTAAAGCGGTGTCGTCAAAATCGTATGGCCAACCGTTCATTGAAATCACTAGGTCAGCATGTTCTGGACATCGTATTCATGAACCCATCCCGATGCCCATGGAACAAATCAAGAAAATTAAATTTTGGTCCACTTGAACTTTACATAGGGGTTCATAACCTCTATAAAAAATGTGTAACTTCAAGGAATGCAAGGTTCAACTTAAGCAACGCTCTTGAATACTGACGTCCTCATAAACTACTACTCAAGTCCTCAATAGTCCTAACTGCGTATTATGGTTAATTAGTCCTTTAGCAGTATAGTTATTCCCCGGGTTCAGAGTTTGTCCCATGATTAAAATTGTGAATGTTTTTTGCTTGACACTCATTTGACCGCTTTTGGTTTCATGATTCAACAGCATCATGGGTTTACAAATGTAGGATAGTAAATTCAGGTCAGAGTGAAATGGCCTTTACTTTAGACTACTTAAGTAAACTTGACATTCTCCCTCTTTGTGTACAATCAGTAATTTCTTTCATTTCACGGCTGAAAATATATGACAATTAGGAAATTAAGGCGCCTTTTTACAGTTCAGCAGCATAGCCAAATAGGAAATAAATTTGATAATTTTACTTGCTCAAGCCCTCTTTCTTTCTCTTTAAAATTACTAAAATAATTATTATGCCATTGGTTCGAAAAAAATCAATTCGTTGGAACGAGCAAAATTAATTAATAAATCAGAT